TTAAGATTTAAATGAAATAATATGTGTGCCTAGCACAATGATTTAAATGTTATTGAGCTTCTCCTTCTCAGAAACAAAAGCAGGGCAAAACCTATAGTAGCAGCCAAGTATTACTGTCCAGAAAGAGTCAGCAGGGTCCATAAATCTTGCAGGGTTCTCTGTATATTTTCCAAATTAGAAACAACCTAAGAAATCCCCCAAATATGGTTTTGGTTCTGAGCATGCACCTACCTGGGCCTTTGGTTCTATATTTTTTCCATCATGGTTAAAAGAAGGTGTTTGATCTATGACCCAAAAGCCCAATATGATTCCAGAAAAACCTGATGTTCTTAGAACATTGGATGCGATCTCTTCTTTATCAAAAACTTACCAAAGAATGGAGAAACTTACCAAAGAATGGAGACCTGAGACCCTATACTGCACACAAAGAAGATTCCCTTTCCATGCATTCACATTGCACTCCCAAATTGATGACATTCACTTCATGTAAAAATGTGAGTGATCACATTTGTGTGTTTATAGGTCCCGAGATGTGGCTGTAGTTAAAGTGACCATGAAATTTGAACCCAATAAAGTGAATATCCAGAAGAAAAACTGCCATGTGGAAGGAAAGGAAACAGTGTGCATAAATGCTACAGTGTGTTTTGATGTGAAATTAAAGTCCAAAGAAGATACAATGTATGAAGCCGGTAAGTGTAACACGTATAGGAAGTCCATCAGGGTGAGAGGGCAATATAGTTGTTCCATCATGATGAAATCAGTGGGCTATGCCTCCGACTGTAGTGACCTGCCCATCATACTCGCTCCTTGAAATTGTTGAGCGTTGAGCAGAAACAAAATATTTTTATGTGATGGACTCAACACTCTATAGTTCTTTCAGGCTTCTGCGTTTATTACAAACAATTGGGTACTGAAAAGGAAAAAAAGATACCAACTCAGAATACAGTTTGGAACTTGGGCTCCAAATGATTCCTGTTTTCATTCCCAAGGGTTTTCATGAAGCATATTCTTTCCCTTCTCTGGCTTCCTCCCTGGGAAAACTGTTAATGCATGGGAATTGAATACTTTACCCACCCTCACATCTTGATTCTTATCACTCCATTTCCATGGTGACTCTGGTTTTTAAGAGTCAGACATGTTTCACGTGAGCTAC